GGATAGTTGAGTTGTACTTATTTTTGTTATTGCTAAGAACATTAAGAACAACCTTAAATCTATATCTTTGTTAGTTTGTTGAAATATATCCTAGTACATTATATTATTGATTCTTAGAAATGAGAATCCCAATTATTTTTTTGGTATATATACACACTGCATTCAAGTTCTTATACTGCATGAATACACCATTATTTTCCAGTATCTTGATAACCCTAGACCATCAAACTTATCTTTATATAAAACTGTGATGTCATGAGTTCTAGCATTTTGTTGTAATAAAGACATCTAGAAACTGTTTAACTGCAGAAAGAAACTTGAGCATTTCTACACACATATGAATTATAGATTGAGCATTTCTATACATGTACAAAATATTATAGATATGTTAATATAGACCAAAAAAATCTACCACTGATAAGATGGAGAACCAGCATGAGTTTCTGTTATCTTCCTCATTCTAGTCTGAGATGCTACTGAAGTGCTTAGAAAAATGTACAGATATAGTGGAATATTTATTAATATACATGAGTAATATTTTTCAAGAGATAAATAAGACATTTCAACATGGGACAGAATCAGTGGTAATAAAAAAGGACAAAGTGAGAACAGTTGGTTTGAAGATACAGTGTTTAATTTTTAATTTTAATTTTAATTTTTTTTTTGAGACTGGGTCTCACTTGTTGCCCAGGCTGGAGTGCAGTGATATGATATCGGCTCATTTTAACCCCTACCGCCCAGGCTCAAGTGATTCTCCTGCCTCAGCCTCTTGAGTAGCTGGACATGGCACCACATCTGGCTAATTTTTGTATTTTTAGTAGAGATAGTTTTTTTTTTTTTTATGTTGGCAAGGCTGGTCTCAAACCCCTGACCTCAAGTGATTTGCCTGCCTTAGCCTCCCAAAGTGGTGGGTTTACAGGTATCAGTTACCACGGCCAGCCTTGAAGCTATGTTTAAATGAACTTAATGGTTGGCATTTATAGCAAAAATTATATAGCCAAAGATGAAATAGCAGCATGGAAAACCTGGTTGGAAAATTCTTTTTTTTTCAACCAGGAAGGGACTGGAGAAATAGAATATATAAAAGAAAAGTCAGGATTAAAAGAAAGCACTGCCATCCATTAAATGTGAGTCCTATTAAAAATGGGTAGAAGATTTACCAACTTCATATGGCCTAATATGTGGGCAACTAGAATCTCTGAAATAGAGTGGGGAAGGGGATTGGGGAGGGACCAGAAAAATATTTGAAGAAATAATGGCCAAAAAACTCTCAAACACAGTAAAAACTATAAACCCACAGATCCAAGAAGCTCAAATCACACAATAAGAAACAGGAAGAGAATTACATTAAGGCACATTATAATGAAATTGTTCAAAGCCAGTGATAAACAGAAAACAGTAAAAAGCAACAGAGCGGGGAAAAAGACATTACATACATGGCACAAAGACAAAGATGACGTCAGAGTTCTCACTGCAAACACTAAGCAAAAAAGATAATGGAACAAAATCTTTAAGGTACCAAAAAAAAAAAAAAAAAAAAAAAAAAAAAAAAAAAAAAAAAAAAAAAAAAAAAAAAACCTATCAACTGGAATCAACTAGAATTGTATGCCCAGCATATGGTTTTCAAAAATGAAGACAAACAGAAGACATTTTCAGAAATACAGAGATTGAAAGAACTCATTATCAGCAGAGCTATACTGCAAGTAATTTTAAAGGAAGTCCTGCAGGCGGAAAGAAAGATGCCAGATGGGAGTTTGGCCCCGCACCAAGGAATGAAAAGCAACAGAAATTGTAACTGTATGGTAAATATGTGTGAGTTGATTATTACTTAAATCTCTTTAAAATACTGACTAACACAAATAATGTATTATGGGGCTTATAACACGTAAAAGTAAAATGTATGACAGCAACACCATAAAGGCGGGTGACATAAATTACAGTATAATATGTATGGTATATATAGTATGAGAACTACAGTATAGGCTGGGCACGGTGGCTCACACCTGTAAACCCAGCACTCTGGGAGGCCAAGACGGGCGGGTCACCTGAGGTCGGAAGTTTGAGACCAGCCTGGCCAACACAGAAAAACCCTGTCTCTACTAAAAATACAAAATTAGCCAGGCATGGTGGTGCATGCCTGTAATCCAAGCTAGTTGGGAGGCTGAGGCAGAAGAATCACTTGAACCTGGGAGACAGAGGTTATGGTAAGCCAAGATTGTGCCATTGTACTCCAGCCTGGGCAACGAGAGCAAAACTCCATCTCAAAAAAAAAAAGGAACTACAGTATAATTCTTATATTCTACATAAAAGAATGTACTGTCACTTGCAGGAAGATTATGATAAGTTAAAGACAGATACTGTAAACTCAAATCCTAACACAACCACTAAAATAGAGTTACAGCTAATAAGCCAATAAAGGTGATAAAATTGAATCCTAAGAAAGTAATTAATCTAAAATAAGGTAAGGAAAATAAAGCGGAATAAAAGAGAAACGGGGGAAGAACAGATATGACAAATAGAAATCTATTTGATTTAGGTTCAAGCCTAACTATATCAATAATCACAGTAAACTTAAAATATAAACACAAGGTTTCACAACCTGAGCACTATTTACTTTTTATCAGAGAATTCTTTGTTGTGGGGGCTATCATGTGCATGAAGGATCTTGGGATCTCTGACTGTTATGCCCTAGATGCCAGTAGCATGCCTACACACCCAGTTATTACCACCAAAAAGGTCACAGACATTGCCAGATGCCCTTAGGGGGCAAGGTCTTCCCTTCTCCTCATTGAGACCCAGTGGCGTAAGCACCCCAATGAAAAGGTAGAGATTATCAAGCTTGTATGAGAAAGGAAAACCAACTTACTTGCTAACTATAATAAACTCACTTTAGAGATACGAATAAGTTAAAAAGCAGATGGATGGAAAATATATACCACGCTAACAGTTGAAAGAAAGCTAGAGTAGCTATATTAATATCAGACAAAATGCATTTTAGAATAATAAGTATTTCTAGGGATAAAGATTATTTCATAATAAGGAATTAACTGAGAGCATAATTCTAAGTGTTTATGCACCTACAGAGCTTCAAAATACTTGAAGCAAGAAAATTACCAAAGAATACACTCCAAGAATAGAAAACTAATTTTAAATAAAAGAACCCACTATGATGGCTAATCAGAAAACCACACTACTATAATAAAGAATATTATACTCACACAGAACAGACAAATACACGAATGGAATAAAGAAATGTCAGAAGATGATTTCTATAGCTGTGTAGTACCTATGCCTTATATAAGGATGGCATCACAAGTCAGTGAGGACAGGATGGATGCTTTGGTGGGTGGTATTGTAAAAACTGGCTCATTGTTCAGAAAAAAATGGGGCTGGTTGTCCCATTATGCCATATACAAATATAGACAGATTAAAATGTGAATTTTAAACCCATAACGCTAATAGGAGAATGTCTTTAAGACCTAGGATGCAGTGGGCTTCTTAAATGACAACAAAAAGACGATAAGCAAAAGCTGTAAGTCAAAAAATGAAGGATTTCTGATCAAGAGAAGCACCAGAGTCAACAGGCAAATGAAAGATTGACAATAAGTAATCAAACATTTTAAACCAAAAAATACTTTATATATAACATAAAATTCTTCAATTCCACCAAAGAAAAGAGAAAAACATTAGAAAATGTGCAGACATGAAGAAGCAATTCATAAAAGCTAAATGGAGAGTGGATGACGAGAGTATCATGTGAGCTTCATCTTACTGTTAGAGAAATGAGAATTAAAGAGACAAAGCTTAACTATTAAAATGGAGCCAACTAAAATGTAAACATTAGCAAGCAATGGTAAGATGCAGAAAAGAGAAGTTATGTGGGTCAGAGTGTAAAATTCACAGATGTCCAGAAGGTAATCTGGGTATGTTTTGTTAAACTATTTATAATATGCCCTGTGAACCAGAGGAATTGATATAGATTCTAAAGGAAAAAGATGAGATTTGGGTCAGAAGGAATTGTAGAGACTTAGGATTTTTTTCCCCGCTAAAACTGGTGTGTGGTGGATGCATATTAAAGAATACTACATTGCACTAAAAAGTAAGATGCGTAGATATAACATGTAAAGATTTTAGAAACAGCTAAATAGAAAGGTAAGAAGTGAGATTTTTGCAGCATGCTGTTTAAATAAGTGCAGCCGTATGTAAAATCATGCAAATTTTACAACTAGTATAAGCATTTTTTTTTTTTGAGACAGTCTCACTCTGTTGCCCAAGCTGAAGTGCAGTTGACATGATCTAGACTCAGTGCAACCTCTGCCTCCTGGGTTCAAGTGACTCTCCTGCCTCAGCCTCCCGAATAGTTGGGACTACAGGCATGAGCCACCACACCTGGCTACTTAACAACATAGAAGATATTAGACCCACTTTCTAGCACATGGAGAATGACATAATGAATTAGAAATGAAGGTTATACAAAATGACAGTGGAGTCTTGACTAGAACAGCAGTGACAACTGATTGACTCAACCTTAGTATCTAACTTCCAAACCTCCCACTACCACATGCCAGCCCTAAACAGGATACATGGTTTTATTCAAATATGTCGCAAAACAAAACAAACCGATTTGTGTTCTAAAACCACAAGGTGGCAGTGGAAAGATCAGAAAAACATTTTGTAGTAAATACGAAAGTGATTATAGCTTGGAAGAAAAATGTTCAGGGGTGCACTTAAAAATGAAAGTTTAAGGGAGAGAAAAGAACTAGTTTGGGGGTAGGAGAGGAGTTTGGGCCAATTTATTAAGTATTTAAAGAATAAACAGGGTTATTTGGAATTCTTGCAAACAAGTCTTATAAATCTTTAATAAGTGGATTCCAGTCCACTTTCCAAAATGCTCATATAGCTTAAATGCATTTGGTATTTTACTCTTCAGATCTATGATACTCCTGACCAAAATTCATCATGATCATCTAACCAGCTTTCCATCCTCTGACTTTCAGGGGCCTATTAATGAGCTGCCTTCCCTGATGTCAGGACTGAAACTTGAGAAACAAGTTTCTCTAAAATCCCTGGATCATCTTATGTTCTGGCAGTTTCTACCTGCTGTTAATGAAGGACAAGTCATCTCTTTCCAACTAGATGGTAAATTTGTTTTTCTGATTTGTCATTCTCTAACCTAATAATCTAAAGAGAAAATAAGTCTCTCTCCAGAATTTCAAAAACAAACAAACTAACAAACTTTCTGGGCCACTTTTCTGAGCTAACCCATTCATTCATTGTAATCACTGACAAGTTTTTTGACCAATTCAGCTATTCATCCTTTTATCCATTCAGGTGGTAGCCTACATTTCAAATTTTTACCAGCACACCAATTATTGTCCTAAGCTATAGTTAGAACAAAAAGTACAGGGAGAATGATAAATGTGGAGTAAAGATTCCTTTGGAAACTCATGGACTGAAGTCACCTCCTGGTGAGGGTTGGAGGGGGAGTGTCAGGTTACTCTGAGTTGAGATGTGAGTTATGATGACTTCCACTTGCTTCTTACCTGGGCAGGGAACACCTGTTACCTCTCTCTCCATCATCCAGGGCTCCTTCCCTTGCTTCAAAGAGGACATCACTTTTGCCCCATAAGTCCAGTTCCCTAAGAAAAATAAATGATCTTGATCATGTTGTGGTTATTACAGAATTTAGACCCACATTTTTGGTGATGAGGAATCTCATTAACACCCCAATCTTCCCAGATCTTCTAAAGCAGTGTTTTTGTATAAAAGACCATCTATATTTTAAACCATTCCCCAGCTATTTCTTAGGCATATGATAGCTTCAGGCTATAGTTTCAGAGGATGGTGTGATGATTTTGAGGACAGTGTGGAATAAGAAGCTTGTATCATCATAAGAGGAAAATGTCTTTCCTTAACACAGAGCTATAATGCTTTACTGAAGGATATGAAGTTATAAATTCAACCAAGCATTTTTAGGGAGTTTTGCAGATATTCGCACAGAAGGAAAAAATCCTCCCATGGGCAATTGTGAACTAACAAGACCTCCTTACCCAAAGATGCAAGGTAATTACAGCTATCCAGCATCACATCTTTATACAGGTTTTTCTGTTCAGGGTTCAGATAATCCCACTCATCTGGCGAGAAGACCACAGCCACATCTCTAAATTTCACCGACTCCTGAAATAACAATTTATACTTTATATGTATACATGCCTCCATGTGGTCCTTGATAGATATCTTTCAAATTGGGCCTGCTAAGGAGGCAGACAGGATATAAGGATACATTAGAATATATGGCCAAAAGCTGTAATAGAAAGAAGACAATAAAGTGTGATTTACTCTTGCAGAGTTTAGGAAGTCAAAATTACTTATCCTCATGATATAGTAACAGCTTAGGAAACATACATTTGGTGTACATGCTTGGCTGAGTCGATGGGGTAAAGCTACCATTTGTAAGGTAGCAAATACCTCAAGTATATGAAGGCCTAGAGTGTATAATCTGTGGGATTATGACTGAATACATCTGAGTCAGAATCCCACCTAGGAAGAATGATAAGGGAATTCATCCTGCCTGGCTGCAGAAGCTGGGACTTCGGTCTCTTTCTGCTTCAGACTGAAACCGGAGCTTCAGCTCTTCTTGAGTTTTGAACCTACTGGGTTTCAAACCAGTATTATAAATCAGTCAAAACTGAAGATATGACAGTCTCTCAATATGAGCAGTCAAAAGTTCTTTGCAAGTAATACTAGAACCATGTCAGTTCTCCCAAGTATATACATAAATTCAGTAGTACCTCCATTTTTTAAAAAATCCATTAAGATTATTTTTGTAAAATGTCATAAATGAATACATGATTTTCACACAAGGGAAAAATGTAACAGACTAGTTTTTTACATGAAAAGTTAATGAAGGTCTTGTTCTTGCCACAGTGCGGAGTAAAGTTATAGTAATTCAAGTGGGTTAGGAATGTCATCAGCACAGATGAAGAGATCAAACAAAGAGAGGCCAGAAACATGCAAATATAGAAACGTTTACTACCTAAAAAAGATGACCAACAGGTCTGTTGGGAAACCATTCAATGAATCCTCAGACAATAACTGAATTTGCCTTAGTAGGGGAGAGCAAGATCTCTTCCTATGAGAATATGTTTCAGATAAAATAAAAAATAATTAAAACTATTAAAATGTGAGAAAATGAAGGTTTTTAGACTTGCAACAGAAAAATTTCTTAAAGACTAAAGTGCCAAATAAAAGGAAATAACAAAAATGACCTTATAAAGGAGAAAGAAATCTCTTGCAAAAAATTGAAATTAGTATGTTGTATAACCAACAAGGAACTAATTCAGAATTTATACAGATCAATAAGGAAAATAGAAGCTGCAGACTAGACAAATGCTGAAAGTATGTGAATGAACAGTTCACTGAAGCAAGCATGCCAATGATCAATAAGTAGACAAACTGTCCTCAATTCAATGCACATTATATTAGCAACAAAAGTCTTGTTTGTTTTGGCAAGACAGTCACAACATGTAAAACATGGACACTATCCAGTGTTTTTAAGGGATGGAAGCAAGCCATCAATCCCACCGATTAGTGGACTTCAAAGTCAGCATGGTACTTCTGGAGCATGACTTGGCAGTATCTAACATGGTAAAAGGTACATGTCCTTGACTCAGAAATTCTAAGTCTAGGTGGCTTTCTTAAAGTTTGAGAACATGCAGAGACTTCACTGCAGCATTACTCTGCCATGGAAATACTGCAAACATAGATCTGTGAACAGGAGAAACGTCCAAAAACAGAAAAATTCACATTGCAGAACATGTGGCACGTGAGAATAAGGGCCAGCTAGGTGTACTGCTATGGAAACATCTCCAAAATAAATTACAAAACTTAAAAAGTTACAGAATATAGACATATCAATAAAAGAAGATCTATTGTACATAAAACTGAAGGCAGTGGTGAGTAGGGTTAGAAATAAAAAGGGTCTTTTTTTTTTTTTTTTTTTTTGAGACGGAGTCTTGCTCTGAGGCTGGAGTGCAGTAGCGCAATCTCGGCTCACTGCAACCTCTGCCTCCTGGATTCAAGCAATTCCGCCTCAGCCTCCCAAGTAGCTTTCTTTTGGTGCCAGGCCAAAAAAGGTCTCTTAAAAAATACTTCAGGCCAGGTGCTGTGGCTCACACCTGTAGTCCCAGCACTTTGGGAGGCTGAAGCGGGCAGATCACGAGGTCAAGAGATCAAGACCCTCCAGGCCAATATGGTGAAACCCTGTTTCTACTAAAAATACAAAAAAAATTAGCTGGGCATGGTGGTATGCGCCTATAGTCCCAGCTACTCAGGAGGCTGAAGCAGGAGAAACTCATGAATTCTCCTGCGAGGAGGCTGCAGTGGGCAAAGATGGTACCACCACACTCCAGCCTGGTGACAGAGCGAGACTCAATCTCAAAAAAAAAGAAAAAAATTACATCTACCTTGTTTAAAATAACATAATACATTGATAGAGTTCTTATATAATTTGAAAAATTACAGAAGTAAAATTTAACTCAGGTCTGCCTGACTGAGGGATGAAAATATCTTCACAGACTATATTTTAAAAGATATTTTGGTGAATTCATTTATAATTCAATGGAATTCTAGCTACTATATTCGGACATTGTTATTTAATGCCACGATTAAATCAGCCTGTCCTCTAATGTAAATGTGATCTCTGTCATTTACTCAGTTCTTCTAAATATGTGGCCCTAAATATGTGGATTAATGGGAAACTCATGTTTCTTACTGCTGCTGGAACAAATTACCACCAACTTCATGCCTTAAAACAACACAAATTTATAATCTTACAGTTCTGGAGTTCAGAAGTACAATATGGGTTAGCAGTGCTGTGTTCCTGCTGCAGGCTCTAGGAAGAATCTGATCCCTCAACTTTTCTAGCTTTCTAGAAACCACCTGCATTCCTTGGCGTGTGGCCAGCCCTACCCTGTCTTCAAAGCCAGCAACATAGCACCCCCCTGCCTGTATCTATAAAGATCCAGTGATTACATTTCAGGCCCACCCAGACAACCCAGGAGAAACCCCCCATCTGAAGATCCTCATCTTCATCACACCTGCAAAGTACCTTTTACCACAGCTTCCAGGAACTAGGATGGAGATATCTTGCAAAGGGTGGGGAGAGTGTTCATCCTACCACAATGTGTATCTAGCCTTCTGTTTTCTTCTGTTTATCCACCAATGTGTTATCGTTTCTATATTGCTTTAATTAGCGTAGTATGTGTTGGATTTTAAGTCTGTCAGGACTAGTGACCTCTTGTTACCCAGAAATATGGCAACATCCCTCCACCTGACCACCTTCATCCCATCCACCTGACCACCTGTGCACTGCTCCAGCTCTCCTGTAGACTTGAGAGCAAGTCTACTGCTCCCTGTGCCCACAACAAATGCAAGCTGTCCAACTTCAAACTAAACTCACTATACCCAGGGACTCCTATTCTTCAGCCTTAAAGTTTTCAAACAAATCCATGCCTAGAAGACCTGCTCTCATGACTCCCCTTGGTCAGTCAGTCCTGAATAGTTTGTTGAATGAATCCTAAAACTTGGGTCCCTAAAGAAAGCTACTGGGTTATTCAGGTCATCTCATCGCCAGAATGGGAAACTGCACCCATGTGGTGGAACAAATGCAAAATGTCTTTAGCCCTGTAAATTGGTATTTTAGGAAGGAAATCAGAAGTAAGCAATTCACCTGTGATATCACTGCTAGAAATGACAGAGCTGTTTTTCTTTTCATCCTTCACCTCCTGTTCTCAGGGGAACACAGACTCCTGAGGTCACACCTTAAAACTGAGAACAGAAGTATGTGAGACCAGGTACCCCAACCCCCCACCTCCAACCACACACACAGAGGAAACCAGGAATGCACAACAGCCTACCAACCTTGGCCTTCAGGTTCTCTCTCCTCCTGGGCCTTAAGGAGAGCTCACGGGTGACGCTGCAGCAGCTGGAATTTTGGATATTGGGGCCTCTCCCTGTGTGTCAAAGTGTGAGACTCTACTTCCCAGATCTGCCCGAACACAACTTTCCCTGCCACCCAGTGAAACAGCTTGAAGTCACCTTCTCAGAAAGATCAACTCCGATACAGCTAGCAGGCCCAGCGGACATCGGAATCTGCCTATATAGAACCTAGATCATCACACCCAGAACCTTCTCATTTTCTAATCAAGCTCAGCTCACTACCTGCAGGATTTAGGTCTTTGGGTCCTGATTATAGTGGGAACAGGGAGGATTGGGGAATGCAGGATTGTCACATCAAGGCTTAGGCTGAAAATTCCCCAGTGCTCTTTATTCATGCCTACTATGTACCCCAGGCATGCTGTCATATAACACACACCCCAGATAGGCTTGTGTCACTCTTTCCACTTGAATCTCTGAATAAGGGGCCTCACCTGGTGCCTGTCAGCCCCATGATGCAGCTGCATGGAGGAGGAAGAGCAGTTTGGTGCTTTCATCAGTGGGACTGCGTATAGCAGCACCTCCTCTTTCCCGTGACCCGTCAGTGACATGGAGGAATCCAGTGTGTGCTGCTTGTCCCAGAAGGGGGTTGGGAATGATAGGAGGGTATGGAAGGCAGAACAATGCTCCCCCACAAAGATGTCCACGTCCTAACCCCCAGAACCTGTGAATATGTGACCTTACTTGGCAAACGTGTGATGAATAATTGTGAACCAAAAACCCAAACTCTGTAAAATATTTAAAGGAGTTTGTTCTAAGCCAATATGAATGACCATGGCTCCAGGAGGAGTCTCGGGGGTCCGGAGAAAGTGTGCCCAAGCGTGTCAGGTTACTGTTTGGTTTTATATATTTTAGGAAGACAGAAGTTTCACGCAAAGGCATAGATCGATACATGTAAGGAATATATTGATTCGGCCTGGAAAGGTGAGACATCTCAAAGAGTGGAGGAGCTTACAGGTCACAGGTGGGTTCAAAAGTTGTCTGACTGGCAATTGGTGGAAAGAGTTAAACTAAAGACTTGAAGTGAGTAGGAAGAAATGCTTTAGTTGATAAGTGGGTGGGGGAATTGTGAAAGCCAAGGTTCTTATTATGTAGATGAAGCCTCTGGGTAGCAGGCTTCAGAGAGAATAGATGGTGAATGTCACTTTTCAGACCTTAAAGGTGTCAGACTCTTAGTTAATCTCTCCTAGATCCTGGAAAGACCTGGCTGCCTTAATGGAGGTTCTCTACAGATGCAGAATTTTCCCCCACGAAAGACAGCTTTGCAGCACCCTCTCAAAATGTCCGAGAAATGTATCTTGGGGTCAAGTATTTTTATTTTCTTCAGGGTCCGATATCTGTCATGTGATGCTACACAACAGTCAGGTTGGAATTTGATCTCTTATTGCCACAGAGTGTATTTTTGTTCTTGTGATCTCTATTTTAGTGTTAATACTGGTCAGTCGTGCTGAACTCCGAAAGGGAGAAGGTATAAGGAGGTGTGTCCAACCTCCCTTCCCATCGTGATTCGGAATTCCGTTTTTCAGGTTTCTCTTGGCTCTGTTCACTCTGCTGGGGGGCCTGGGCTTTTTGTTCTGGTTTACAAAATCCTGAGATGCAGAAATTATCCTGGATTATCCAGGTGGGTCTGATATAATCAAAGGGGTCCTTAAAAGAGGGAGGCAGGAAAATCAGATGATGAAGGAGAGGTAGGAGCCTCCAGAAGCAGGAAAAGGCAAGGAGACAGATTCCCCCCTAGAGCCTTCAGAAAGAGCACAGTCTCACCAGCACCTTCTGACCTCCAGACCTCTAAGAAAAGTTTTTGTTATTTTGAGCCACTAAGTTTGTAGGCATTTGTTCCAGCAGCAATAGATAACTAATACAGAGGGCCAGAGACTGAGGGTGGCCAGGGATGGACTGAGGTGGGCACAGGGTGAGGACATCTGGACCAGAGGCCATGCAGAAGGACAGTGGGTCCAGATGTTTACTTGTGTCCTAAGGCCAGAGTGACCAAATGACCCCAGCAGGGGGTGCAGCAGGACTAAAGCCTAAACCAAAGACACAAGGGAGTGAAATGCCCCTACAGAGGTCAGCAGGGCCCCGCCACCAGCACCCAGACCTGACACATATTCCCTTTCTCCTTCACTTTTTGTTAAGTGTTTCCCTGCACAAAGACTAAGTAAACCGGCCGGGCTTGGTGGCTCACACCTGTAATCCCAGCGCTTTGAGAGTCCGAGGCAGGTCAATCACGAGGTCAAGAAATCGAGACCATCCTGGTCAACATGGTAAAGCCCTGTCTCTACTAAAAATACAAAAATTAGCTGGGCATGGTGGCAGGTGCCTGTAGTCCCAGTACTCGGGAGGCTGAGGCAGGAGAATCGCTTGAACCTGGGAGGCCGAGGTTGCAGTGAGCAGAGATCGTGCCACTGCACTCCAGCCTGGCGACAGAGTGAGACTCCATCTCAAACAAACAAACAAACGAAAAGACTATGTAAACCAAAAATAAAATTCTAAGCCCTCCAACCACTAGAATGGACTCCTCTTCTCAGCAAAGTGAATTCCAAAGTTAACCTGAAAAACTAGTTCAGGCCGTGACAGGAAGTGGGGTCAGACATGCCTCATTATACCCTTCTCCCTTTTGAAATGACTGAGAGAAGGACTCTTTAAATCTGATAAGAAACATTTCTAATGTATTCTTTCTGAAGCCAGCTACCTGGAGGCTTTGTCTGCATGATAAAAACTTGGTCTCCACAACCCCTTATCTTAGCCTAGACATTCCTTTCCATCAATTCTAAGTCTTTAGACAGTAACTGAACCCTTTTAACAAATTGCCAACTAGAAAGTGTTTGAATCTGCTTGTGACCTGGAAGCCCCGGGCTTCCCGTTGTCCCAGCCTTCCAGACTCAACCAATGTACATCTTATTTGTATTGATTAATGTCTTTTGTGTCCCTAAAATGTATAAACCCAAGTTGTAGCCTGACCACCTTGGGCACGTGTTCTTGGGACCTCCGGAAGACTGTGTTATGGGCCGTTGGTCACTCATATTTGTCTCAGAATCAATCTCTTCAAATATTTTGTAGAGTTTGACTCATTTCATCGACAACTATTATTCTGAGGCAAAATCAGAGGAAAAGGAGAGGGAGTCCTTGAGAGGAAGAGAATGTGCCAGGGAGCACAGGTGAGTGTTGAAATCAGAGAACTTAATTTCTCAATCAAGGGACTGTTTCAGAATAGTCTGTTTTAAACATGAAGATGTAAAATGACCTTGGAGTGGTATGATTATGTTTTCTACCATTGTTTTTGGACCAGTTATACAGAAAGATATTTACATTTTTTCATACATTGTGGCTGTTTTAATAAGCTGCAGGAAGATACTGAGGGCTAAGTTCATATTCATGTCCATACTCATGATCTCATTAACTGACAGGCACCCTAGAGGGAATTATTCTATTGCACGCTTCTTATTTAGGAGATAAGAAAAGGGAGGATTAGAAAAATAAGCAATTTTGCCCACAGTAACACAGCTGGTGAAGGATAGCACTGAGCGCCATCCTCAAAGCCATCTGACTCTGAAAGACCAGGCTCTAGGCCAGCCATGGTGGCTCATGCCTATAATCCTAGCACTTTGCAAGGCTGAGGCAGGAAGATTGCTTGAGGCCAGAAGTTTGAGACCAGCCTGAGCAACATAGCCCATTGTCTACAAGCAATTTTAAAATTCCAGGTATGGTGGCATGTGCCTATAGTCCAAGCTACTTGGGAGGCTGAGGTGAGAAGATGGCTTGAGCCCCAGGCATTCGAGGTAGCAGTGAGCTATGATCACATCAGTGCACTCCGGCCTGGGCAACAGAGCAACAGAGCAAGACCCTGTCACTAAACAAATAAACAAACAAACAAAAAACCAGGCTCTTAGGCTCTTTTGCACTACCCTTGACAACATAAACCTACACAAAGTACAGATTCCTAAAAAGGTGCTTCCCCACCTGCCGAATTTACCTATCTAGCCTCATCAACTACCAATTCCCTGTGCCCTCCTATTTTTCACATTTTATTCTATACAGTTATCTTTATATTATTGTATTATCTCTCCTTGACTCTGTTTATTGAAGCAGAAATTGTACCTTTTATTTCTTTGTATTCAAAGCCTTTAGTCTAGTGTCCAGCACTTAATATGCCAGGAAACAGGCATTATTTTGAGTCTCCCATCACCCATCCACTGTATCAGCATGAATCATTTATTTCAGCATCTTGAACTCCCGTCAGTGTATGGGATTGTTTTATTATCTTATGTTAATGAGTAGAAAATGCAAAGAGATTGTTTTGCTAAGATCACGTGGTGAAACCGTTTGACTACTGATGAGATGTATCCCAAAGTTGTCTGAATCCAGGATTGGACATCTTAACAGTTGCCATAAAATTCCCCATCATTATAACTACAGAAAGGCATAAACTGATAACTGCTTAATATAAACAAGCTGTGTCAGCTTGAGTAGTCACCTAACCTTTATGTGACTCATCTTTAAAACGAAGGTATTGGGTTCTTTTACATTTTTTTGTCAGCAGCATAACATAATACAAGTATATCTGAGGTTCTGCAGGTGTAATCTGACATTGCACATTTAAAAAAAGAAAGACATTAAATCTAACTTTTATTTTGTATAATTGACATTTGTATTGAGATAATGTAGATTCACATACAGTTGCAAGAAAAAATAGAGACCTCTTGTACCGTTTACCCAGTTTTTCCTAATGGTAACATCTTACAAAAGTATAGTACAATATCAAAACCAAGATATTGAGATTGATAATTCTCCAACCTTATTCAGATTTCCCCAGCTTTACTTCATTTGTATGTGTGTATTCATTCTATACAAGTTTATCACGTGTAGGTTCTAGTATTCGCCACCACTGTCATGTTACAAAGCACTTTCATTACCTCCAGGATCTCTGGTATTACCCACATTTACTTCTTCAATAACCACACCCTCTTCCCTCCCACCCTCTCTTCTGTCTCAAATAACTACTAATCTCATCTCCGTTTTCTAAAATGTTATCATTTCAAGAATGTTATATAAATATTATCACACTGTATATAACTTTTGGGATTGGCTTTTATCACTCAACATAATTCCCTGGAGATTCATCCAGGTCACTATGTGTATTGATAATTTGCTTCTTTTTATTGCTGAGCAGTATTCTGTGGTATGGATGTATGCAATTTCTTTAATTATTTACCCTTAAAAGACATCTGAGCTGCTTCCTGTTTGGGGCTATTACAAATAAAGCTACTGTGAAAATTAGTGTATAGGTTCTTGTGCTAACATATGTTTTTATTTTCTGGGATAAATGCCCAATAGTAAAATTGCCAGGTTGTAGAGTAATTGCACATAAGAAACTGCCAAACTATTTTCCATGGTGGTTGTACCATTTTACATTCCCACCAGCAATGTGTGAGTGATCCAGTCCCACGGCATCCTTGCCAGCACTTAGTGGTGTTACTATTTTTTATTTTAGCCATTTTGATAGGCATGTAGTGATATCACACTGTGGTTTTAATTTGCATTTTCTTACTGGCTAATGATGTTGAACATTTTTCATGTGCTTATTTTCCATCTGTGTATTTTTGTCAGCAAAATGTCCTTTCATGTCTTTTTCCCATTTTCTAATTGGATTTTTTTTTTTTTTTTTTTTT